GCCCGGGGCGGGGGGCTTCGCAGGGCAGAGGCGCAACCCGGGAATGCAATTTGCAGACGGCCCCTTCCAGCGCGGGTTTGTCTCTTTAAGTCTCGCGGGCGGAAGGGGAGGTTGGAAAAGCGCGAGCGCTGGCGTCAGAGTGGGCGGAGTCCCATAAGGGCCCTATCCAATGAGAAGGAAGCGGTGCTGGCGCCCCATCCATCGAGCATGCGCAGTCGCGTGATCGTTCGTGCGCGCGGGACATACAGAAAAGCGTTGGGGTTCGGAAGGCGAAGAGGTAAACATTCCGGGACGCTTACGTAGCGCGTGCCCTGCTCTGAGCGCCCCGCGCGTGCATCAGACCCCGGGGCTTGCACTTTCCCCGCCGCACGCGCGTCCCCCCCGTCCCCTGCAGAGAACGCACCGGGCCTGGCCTGCGGTGACTGCAGCGTGCTGGGTTATCCCCGGCACTTGGGGTGTGGCTTCAAGTGACTAAACCCTTTCCCCTCTAAGTACTGATGCAAAGGCATGTGCAGTCTGTGTGCGGCCTCAGGGTGCATGTCTCATCAGGGTTTGAGAGCCTGCCATAGAAGTAATGATTAGAACTGCTTTTCTGGCAAGTGTGTGTGCCCAACTTATCAAGCTGTGATGGTATTGAAGAAAACCTTCCAGATGCGACCTGATACAGTATTGACTTGCCTGCCTGCCTGCTTTTGCGACCAGACAACTTGTTAGGAAGCAGTAATGAAACTAACAAGTCTCATGTCTGTTGCACTGTGACCATTCAGAAAGCAGTTAGCACTCCAAAATGAATCATAATCATGATGCCAGTTACGCTCATTTGACTGGAGAACAAATCAGCAGCAGAATGAGAGGACTCCAACATGTCAGGAAGTAATGATTGGAGGCAGGAAGAAAGTGGTTTCTTCTCTCTTTGTTGAGAGGTGAATGAAGGAGAAACTTCAAATGTATCATAAACATAGGAACTGGCGTTTGAAACAGAGGATAAAGACTCTCTGTGCCTTGGTAGGAATTGCTACGTTTTTCAGCAGCTGGGGCTAGTCTCCTTCCTAGGATATTGACTCTAAATTGTCTTTTTTGTCATAAAAGCATAAGAACAGCCATACTGGGTCAGACCAAAGGTCCATCTAACCCAGTACCCTGTCTTCCAACAGTGGCCAATGCCAGATGCCCCTGAGGGAGTGAACAGAACAGGTAATCATCAAGTGATCCCTCTCCTGCCCTCCGTTTCCAGCTTCTGACAAACAGAGGCTAGGGACACCATTCCTACCCATCCTGGCTAATAGCCACGGTTGGACCTAACTTCTATGAATTTAGTCAAAAACAGTGAATAGTCCTGTAGATGGTAGATGGTATCATGAGCTTTCCTGGGCACAACACACTTATTCCGATTAATGGAGTTAAGAGGTCCAGGTACAAATAAATATTGGGGAAAATGGGGAAAAGTATTGTCAGTTAGAGTGTCCATGCTAAATGAGGCTACTAGAGAGTCATGATTTAATAGATCTCTATTATATTCCCCCCATAGTCTCCTATTTTCTAAACTGAAAAATCCTAATCTTTTTAATCTCTCCTCATATGGCACCTGTTCCAAACCCCTAATAGTTTTTGTTGCCCTTTTCTGAAATTTTTCAATACAGGCAGTCCCCGGGTTACGTACAAGATAGGGACTATAGGTTTGTTCTTAAGTTGAATCTGTATGTAAGTCGGAACTGGCGTCAGCCGCTGCTGAAACTGATCAGTTTCAAACGCGGCTGAATCTGGACGCCAGTTCTGACTTACATACAGGTTCAACTTAAGAAACCCAGGCGTCCACAAGTCAGCTGCTGCTGAAACTGATCAGCGGCTGATTCCAGGAAGCCTGGGGCAGAGCAACTCTGCCTTGGGCTTCCTGGAGTCAGCCGCTGATCAGTTTCAGCAGTGGCTGACTTGGGGGCGCCTGGGACAGCACTTTTTTTTTTTTTTTT